GTAGCCTACCCAGGCCATGGGAGTTGAGGGACGTGACCAAGGAAAGCCAAGTGGTCTTGGAGTCTTAAGGGAAGGGGAGAGTAGGCATCACCTGGTAAAGCAATCGTGTGTGAGGACAGCTTTTGCCTTGGGCACATCTTGGGTTGGCCAGCTGTGGGCAGATCTCTTTACCCACCCTCAGCAGGAAGCTGAGCATGCTGGGAATAAAAGGCTGGATGGTTATGCACATGTTACATATTTGTCTGAATCTATAGTAATTTTGTTCATTCTTTTCACAAAATACCCGATGAAGAGCAGTTTAAGGAGGGTTTTATTTGGCTCACAGTTAGAAGGGCGGTAGTCTAACACGGTGGCCAGGCACAGGGGCGGGAGCGGGAGGTGGCTGTGCCCATGGAGTTAGCAGTGAGGTAGCAGGCAGATATTAACACCAATGCCCATCTTGCTCTCTTCATTTTTTGTTCAATGCTGGCCCCAGTTCATGAGATACCTTGCTCTTGTAGTTGACAGTGAAGGCTAACTATCACGGGTCTGTCCGTCTGTTTTCTGTCTGTCTGTCTCCATGTATATTCCCTCACTTGCTCTCCTTTGTAACTGATAAATACTCCGCTGTAAGATGAGTCTGAGGATGTGGATAGCACAGCCATGGATAGAACAAGTCAACCATGAATATGACCGACCCATGTTTTCCCTCTGTGCTCTGTGAAAGGGAGAGAGGGGGTTTTAGTAGATACTGTTGTGTGATAGGTCCATTTCATTTTAACTCACTGACCAGTTGAGTCACGTGACACTTGGATCAGGAGAATGGTCAAACCATTGGCCTGTTTAAAGTCCTGGGGAAACGACTGAGTCTTACGTCAGATGGTCCCTCAGCGCTGATAGAAGCAGATTCCTCAGTTGGGACGGAAATGTCATCTCCTCTTTCCTGCCCTGCCCCCATGGGTCTCTCTTTAGACAGTGCTGTTCTCACTGATGCTCCCTCGGGGGCTTGTCATGTTCTGTAAGATGCAGAGCACTCTATCCACTCCCAGGGCCGTGATGACCAGTGTCTGTGGAGGATTGCACCAGGAAGACAGTAAATGAAAGGATCAGAAGCTGACAGACTCCAGGACAGTGGCCTTGCTCTTTGTAATTCCAGGGGATTAGGTGGAGACTCTGGATTTTAAAAACCGAAGCTCCCTAACACAGATTGGTTCCCGGTTCTATTCATGTTGTCCACGCTCACCCCAGTGCGTCTGCTTCTGTTCTCTTTGTAGCCTTTGACCCCACTGTACTCCTGCCATTCTCTCAGTCCTCCTCACAGAGTGTGTGTGTGTGTGTGTGTGTGTGAGAGAGAGAGAGAGAGAGAGAGAGAGAGAGAGAGAGAGAGAGAGAGAGAGAGGAGAGCCAGGAGTGGCTTTCCCAGGTGGCTGATGACTTTGATCTCCGTGATCCCTGGTGTCCGTCTGCAGGAAGTGAGCCCTCAGTCTGAGTTAGGGGAGGAGTTGGGAGAGAAGTGCTCATCAAAGACAAGTCCACCCATCCGGGCCTGGGTGCTCTGCACACCTGAAGGCTTTCTCTGGCAGTTTTAAGACCCTCCTCACTGGGGCTGTGTCCATGGAGCCGGTGTCTGTATCTGACAGGAGCTTCTTCACAGGGGCAGTGGAAGGGTGCAAGATTCAAGTCTAGGTCAGGTATGTGAGCAGCTTTGCTTCCTGGAGAAGAGAGGCCCGGTGCAGGACTGGAGTGAGCAGGTGAGGAAGAGTCAGGATCTCCATGAGTTCCTACCCCAGCGGTCTCACGATTCGGAATCAGTCCTCACCCATCTACCCAAGTGTGGGAAGGCACAGAGAACTCACAGGCATCGCGAGAGACCCGGGGATGCCATCTATCCAGATCCCCCCCACACACCCCCTTTACCTGCGTGACTCTGAGCCATACACCCAGCTGTCTGCACACCGGTTTTCTCATGCGTGAAGCCAACACTGTAACTTCTGTGAAGGATTGCCGTGAAACCTAGAAGAGAGAATAGAGCATACTCCAACGTCATGTGTAAGCATCTTCCACGTGCCTGGTCCTGGGAAGTTGGCAGTAACCACTGCTTGTTTTGTGAGCACCAGGGACAAGACAAACTTACCACCCTGTTGGCTGGAGGTTGCCTTTGCTGAGAAAACCAACCCTTGGGAAGCCAATGTGCGAATCTGTTTTGCCCTTAGGATTCCGGCATAGAACCAGGCACCTATAATCTCAGGCAGATGAAGGGAGAATGGGTGTGATACAGGTGTTGATTTAGACAGAGCACTCCACAGTCTTGTCTGCCTTCTCAGTAGTCTCTGTCTGCTGACCAGTTGGGGATCTGCCTGTTCATCACCATCTCATGGAAGAAGCGGCTTCTCAGACGAGGGTTGACAGACACAGTGATCTGCGGGTACAAGAGCCATTAGGGGCTGTTTTTATAGGAATAACAGTAGGTTCTTCATACCCATGCCCAGGCTCAGGGACCATCAAGGTCTAAGAACCAAAGGCAGTAGACGAACAAAGAAACCACCCTCCAGACACGAAAGGCAGATGCCCACGTGAACCTGGTGATGATGACAGCGAGCAAGACCTACACAACCAAGCCAGACAAACTCCCAGCGTGGAGCGGGGAGGACGACATGAAACCACCCCTCACTGAAGAGCTGTTGGCAAGCGATAGCTGCTTAGAGAGAGTCAGTTTTCCTCAGGGGGTGGCCCATGGTATGTCAACCGCTACCCAGGCCAGGCCCCACTCCCAAGAGTATTTGAACAGCATTAAGTTGGGTGGATTTAAAAAAGTAGGAAGAACATGAAGTTGGGTGATTAGGGCGGAGTGGGGGGGAGCCGGGGAAGGGTAAGTGTGTCAAAGGGCATCGTATAAAATTCTCAAAGGACGGACAAAAGTGGGGTGTTTTTGTTTGTTTTTAAAAGGAATGGAGCATTAGTTTTTGGGAATCATTAGTTGTTTGGTCAAGGAAGACTGCCAATATACAAATGCTGCTGCTTGTGGAAATGTGAAGATCTGAAGGTCAGGGTACTCTCAGAAGGATAACGGGGGCTCCTGAATCCAGTTTTGAGATTGGGCAGGAAACCAGACTTCCTGGTTGCGGTTCTGTCTCCCAGTGCTGAGGTGGCGTCAAAAGCTTGCTGCATGATTCTAGCAGGGGACAGTCAGGCCGTGTTGTCTGTGTCCGTGTTGCCCTTGCCCTGAGCTGCGCTTGGTCTCTCACAAAGCCTGGGCTGGCTGGGGCCGTCCTCTGTGTCTGTGGTGCCTGGTGGAACTTCTCACTTTGCAGTCTCCATGGTCTTCCCTTGTGTCTCTGCCCCATGAACCACCTTCTGGTTGCATCTTGAGTATATGTGACATTTCTGCCCTCATCCTGGTCAAGTCTCTCCTTTCCCTTAAAAACAGCAATGTTCCATCGTTCCCTGTGGCGTGGCTTTCTGACTCGTCTTCACCCCCACCCTTCCCCAGCGCCTCTGCAGCCTCCCCTGCCTGCCACCCCTCTGCCTGCCCAGCCCCAAACCAAGCATCATGGGTTCCTTCCTCCCTCACCTCCTCAGTGCTGGGATGACCCTAGGGCCTGTGCATCTGAAGCAAGGGCCCCACCACCAGGGCTATGCCCTCAGCCCCACAGTATGTCTGGTCACAAAAGTTTTAGCGTGACTGTCCCATCACCATTGGAAGAACCTCTTCGTGGTGCTGGGATTTAAACCCGGGGCCTCATACATGTGAGGCAAGTCGCACCACCATGTGCTGGGTCCTGGTAGGACCTCAGCATAAGTGACAGAATCTTCTTGTTGTCCCCTCCTCCTGCACAGATTCGCCTGGCCTCTGCTCATCAGGACCTGTGTGGAGTGCCTGATGGCATCACTAGATTCAAGGGCAGGGGGTGGGGTGGAAATGGCAGGACTGTCTTTAGAGCTGGGATTTTTTTATACTGAGAAATTATATGTGTTTTTTATTATTATTCCATTCAGATCATGTCACATGGCCATTTACTATTAAATGTGGCTCATTAGTTGATATTCCCATGTTGAGGAAATATCATGTATGTATTTCTCCAAGAGTTCTCTGAGATACATGCTCATACCTCTAGCAGTTTGCTTGTCGTGACCTCCAGATGCCCTGGAGCCTAATGCTAAGCTCACCATTTGCTCCCAAAGACAACCTCTACATTGCAAGTCATGCCAGCCTCCAGCTGCAGCAACCCATGCCAGACCTTTCCTGCTGCACAAACCAGGGACCTGGGTATTTTCCTCTTTTTATTTGTCCACACCCAGTCTTCCATGGGGCAATGTGGAATTCTACCTCAGGTGTCTAACCAGTGTACTCACTCCTCTGCAAACCTCAGCCAGACTCCTGTCTTCTCTTGCCTGGACTGCAACACTTGGGCAGGTCTAGGATGCTTCGTGGCAAGGGATGGTGTCTTCTTAGAAAAGAGTCAGTGGGACCAGAGGCAGAGGAGGAGGATCTGCATGGCAGAGCCAGTGGCTGTGTCCTGTAGAGACAGGAGCCCCAGCATACCAAGGGACCAGAGAGCTGGCAGTCAGGGGCAACCTAAAGAGTGAGATGCTGAGGTATGAAGAGAGGCAGGCCTGGAGCTCTGTGGTCTCTCTGGGCCTCTCTGGGGGCTTCCATATCCATGAAGGCCCCTCGAGGTATAGGGCTCCATTATAGGCAGAGAGAGTCCTTTGTGAAGGGTGTCACTAAGTTTTTAATGTGTTCCTCTTACAAACTGCAAAGTTGAACTCTTTCTTGAACCCCTGTCCACTGTAGAGAGGCAGCACTGGAGAGGGTCCTGTGGGCAGGTGCCCACACGTGGGCTTGTTCCGTGGCCTCGTTCCGTGGCCTCATCTTCGTCAGCTCAGAAGGCTTAGATAGGGTTGCTGGCCCCACAGCATCTGTTGCAGCTCACACCCCAATCTGCAAACCTGTCTTTGCCTTACCAGCATTCATCAGTGTCAGCTCCAAGACGGCGTGTTAATGTTTAATGTGCAAAGGCTGCTACTGTGCGTTGGCCTGTGCCTCAAAAGGCCGGGGATCAATGGCAGTGGTGCTGAGAGAGAGGTCCAGGTCTCCAGGAGAAAACTGCTTTTCTTAGAAAGGCGGGCAGGAAGGAGTCAGAGGAGAGCAAACTAACAGTTGCCATTCTTCCCCTCAGCCCAGGAAGGTTCCAGCTGTCAGGAGGGTGTGGGATGCTCAGCAAAGTCCTCGGCACCAGCAGTAGCAATAAAATAATCAGGCAGGTGAAACCCTGTCTGCAGGCCTGAAGTGCAGGAATCTTGGCTTTCCGGGGAGGACCCTGGAGTCCAGGTTCATGATCTGGGGCAGAGAGGCCTGCTCTGTGAGGTCAGGCTAAGGTCATGTTCTAAAAGCCAAGACAGAGAAGCATCCTGAGCAAAATGTGCACGTCCCAAAGCTAAGGTGGTCGGAGAACCCGTTCTGAAGCTAAAGCACTTCATCTCCGCAGTAGGAATGTTTGCAGTTGGTTCTGTGAAGACCCACGCAGAAGATCTAATCTCAGATCAGTGTCTTGTTCCAGGACACTTTAAGCCTCTGTGTAATGGTTGCTGTGTCAGCTTCCTGGGATCTGGACTCACCTGGGAAACAAGCCTCCTCTAGGCGTAGCTGGGAGGAACTGGCTGTGTGAGCTGATGTGGGAAGACCTATCTCCTCCTTGGGGCCGACCATTGCCTGGGCAGAAACCCTAGACGGTGGCAGGGAATAAAGCTAGCCGAGCACCCATGCATTCATGGCTCCCTGCTTCCTGGTTGTGGATGCAATGCTGCAAGCTGCTTCACACCACTGCCTGATTTAACTTCCCTCAGGATCTGGTCCCCTCGAACACTGAGCCAGAATAAAGGCCTTTCCCCTTAATCTGCTTTTGTCGGGGTATTTTTATCAAAGCCACAGGAAAGTAACTAAGACGGCATCCCGAGGAGTGGAGAACCATCCTCAAAGCCTGTTCGTGTGGGTTGGGTGGATACTCTGGCTGGTGTGTGTCATAGGTGTGCATGGAAACACCCAGAGGTGAGTGGGGTGACTTGGCATTGGGTGACCTTGGTTTGACCTTTGGCCTTGTTGCTTACTGTGTGTCTTCAGATGATTAGATTAAAATTTCCTCTACTCCAAAAAAAATGTTTTGGGGTCTCCCTCTCTCTCTCTCTCTCTCTCTCTCTCTCTCTCTCTGTGTGTGTGTGTGTGTAAGTACCATGTATATGTGTGTGCTTTGTGTGCTCACAGGCCAGAGGATGAGGTCTGGTGTCCTGCTCCTTCACTGTCTGCTTCCTTCCTTTGAGGAATCCTGAAGCTAAGATGGAGGCCGAAAGCCTCAGGGAGCCTCCTCCCTCCTCCCGCACAGCCATGTCTGGCTTTCATTTGAGTACTGAAATCTGAATTCAGGTCCCTTGGATTTACATAACAAGCGCTGTAGCCCACTGAGTGTCTGTCTGTCTCTCTGGCTGTCACCCAGATTAAGATTTTCTAGATCTCAGTTTCCTCACTTAGAAAGCGGGGCGAGAAGCGTGGAATTAAGTTGGCTGGGACGGTAGGTTGCTTTCCCACTGCAGGGCAGACAATGAATGTGTGCACTTTCACTAGGAAACATTCCCCGTGGGCCTGTGTGTCCCCAGGCTTCAACTTAGTCACAGAGCCTCCAGTCATCTCTGTATGGCTGGACTGCAGGAGCCATCCAGTAGACTGACTGACTGTCCTACCTGCTTAGCCACACTGGGCATGGGGCTGAGGTGAATGGTGCCTGTGGCTTCTAACATTTCATCCCAGTCTGCTTTTATATGCAAAGAAGTTAGGGGCTGAAGTCCTGTGAGACAACAGGCTCTGTTCTAGAGTGTGGGCTTTGGTGGGAGGGACGGATGGCGTGGTCGCCTGCTGGATTAGTTAGGACCTGTCTGTACTGGGTCCCACCTTCTCCAATTTTCATGTGACCAGAGGCTTTTTTTTTTTTTGGGGGGGGGGGTTGTGTGTGTGTAAGTTGACTGTTCGGGACACTTGGGGAGCCCTTAGAGGTGAAGCCTCATTGGAGGAAGCGGGTCGCTGGGGGCGGGGCTCGAGGCTTTCTAGCCTGGCTTTGCTTTTTGTCTACTTTCTGCTTCCTGATTCACACAAGCATAGCAGAGCCTCAGGCTCCTGCCCCCACAGTTGAGAGCGCCTCCCAGCACCACACCTTCTACTGTGATGGACTGGACCCTCAAAGTGTGGTCCGGATAAGCCCTTCCTGCCTAGTTTAGTCGTTTGTTTTGAGACAGGGTCTCACTGTGTAGTCTTGGCTGGCCTGGAATGTTCTGTGGATCAGCCTGGCCTTGAACTCACAGAGATCCACCTACCTTTGCCTCCTGAGTGCTGGGGTTAAAGGCGCCACACCCCACAGAGTTGCTCTTTTGAGACACTTTGTCACTGTGCTGAGGTGAGGAAGGAAGCGAAAGTGGAGACAGCTCCCGCCCCATCCCTGTGGTGTTGTCCAGGTCTGCACTCTTGCCACATTGTCAGGAAGCACAGACTCTCTTAAGGGGCCTCCATCCTTCCAGCACTTGGAGGACGGGGCATCATCCTCGGCCCCTCCTATCTGCCATCCAAGTGCACTTGCCTCTCGCTGCCAACTTGACTAATCTCCTAGACCACATGTGTTTCTTTTCCTTTCTTTCCAGGCCCAGAAGTCAGGCTCAAGAGGGGACACGCAGGCAGCAGAGGACCTGCTGCTGCTCAGCAAACCGCTTACAGACCTCATCAGCCTGCTTATCCCGCTGGTAAGGCTGTGCCTGTGTGAGGACTCGCCTATGTGAGGACACATGTGTGAGGACTCGCCTGTGTGAGTTGGCTGTGTGAGGACTCGCCTGTGTGAGGACAAATGTGTGAGGACTTACCTGTGTGAGGTCGCCTGTGTGAGGACACATGTGTGAAGGCTTACCTGTAGAAGGAGTCACCTCTGTGAGGGGGCCTGTGTGAGGACATGTGTATGAGGGCTCACCTGTCGCCTGTAGAAGGACTCGCCTGTTAGAGGGCACCTGTGTGCTTTTTCAGAAATGCTGAGACTAAGAGCTGGAGAGATGGCTCAGAGGTTAGGAGCAGTAACTGCTCTTCCAGAGGTCCTGAGTTCAATTCCCAGCACCGAAAAAGCAGCTCACAACCATCCATAATAAGATCTGATGTCCTCTTCTGGCCTTCAGGCAAATATGCAGACAGAACATTGTAGACAATAAATAAATCTAAAAAAAAAAAAACACTTAAAAAGAAATGCTGATTTTCTTTTGTCTGAATTTCAAGAATGCTTTATTTCCTGTTATTTTAATTCCCTTCAAAACTAGAACCCAAAAGAGCTTCCAGAAGGCCATTTTTTTTCTGTAAAAAATACTAAATTTATGCTTGATTTTAAAACCAGGTGGCCTGTCATTCATTAAGATAGTATTTAATGTCCAGGCAAGATAGTACACATATGTTAAATGAGCTCGAGAGGCAGATGTGTCACAGTGTATATGAGGTCAGCCAGAAGCACACAGTGAGGCCCTGTCAGAAAACGGATGGACAGATGGACAGATAGATTCGCACATACAGATACATACTACATACACACATACAGATAGGTAGTACATACATACACACATGCATTCACACATATAGATACATACTACATGTACACATATAGATAGGTAGGGATATACATACACACACACATGCATTCATAGACAGAATTAATAAATAAGTAGGCAGAATCAAATCCAGCTACTCCCTGAATGAAGGTAATGAAAATGCAATGAATTCCAGTAGGACAGATCCTCTGAGCATCTGGTCCCTTCCAAGTGGGATTTCTGAGTTGTAGAGGACACTGCAGAGTTAGAAGGGAGCAGACACAGCCTCCCCCCCCCCCCCCGCCAAAACTGTGACAGAGCAGGGTTAACAACAAGCTGGATTACACAAGGCCCCTAAATTTGTAGGTGACACCAATGCAAACCTTGAGCTTTGGGCAGCTCAGTGGTTTCAGCCAAATTGAAAGAGACCCCAAACATGGTGACAGGTGACTCCCCCTTACATAGCAGCCAGCTGGGGTCAAACCTCATAAAAAGCAAAAAGCTTCAGGAAGGCCCATGATAGCAAGGCCTCTTTGTGCCTCCAGAATCAGATGAGAACTGTGTTCCTCTGACCCCTGCCCCTGTGAGGCTGGCAGCTCACTGGTCAGGTCAGGACTGAGGCTGGTGGCTCATTGGTCAGGTCAGGACAGCTGGTGTTTGGGGTTCACTGCCCTTGTGACTTCAGGATCATAAATGCAGTTTGGGCCAGTAATTGTGTAGGTTTGATTGCATCCAGGAAGTAAAGGTGTGGTTATATGTGGTTGCCTGTAATCCCAGGACTCGGAGGCTGACGAAGAAAGATTGGGATGAGCTTGACTCCAGCCTGGGCTGCGTAGTAAGTTCAGGCCAACTTGAGTTACAAAGTGAGACCTTGTCTTACCACTCAAACAGACCCAAGTAAACAGACAAAACAGCCTTAAAGGTTCAGCTGGAGAGGAAAGTTTATGTTGTGAATTACAAATGGCAGAAAGAATTTAGGAAATGGGAAGTAGGCGGATGAGAACTGGGTAAGTTGCAGCTTACCCAGGAAAGACATGGCCCTGAGTTCATGTGCATGGGCTTCACCTGCTCTGCCCTTACCAGCGGGGGAGGGGACCAACAGAGCAGTCTGTGACCTCATTGTTTGATTTGCCAATGGTAACTAGTTATGAGGAGGCCGCGGGTACTCAGTCAGCTAGACTTGGCTCCATAAGCACCATGCAGTCTGGCCAGCACTGGCAATTGTGGGGTTCTTTTTCTGCTTCAGCAGGGGCCTTACTTAATCCCCCCTTTTCTGTGATGTGGGGCCCACCTTTACTTAACAGAGAAGGTCTCTGGAGCTGTTGAATCTAGAAACCCAAAACTTCAGAGCTTAAGTGTCTGGTCTCAACACCCACGCATTCTTCACCAACATTCTCATTGGCCTCTGGATTCACTTTGAACCCATGAAACCCTAAACTCGGTCATATTCAGAAACAGTCGGACTGGCAGGGAGTGTGTTGGGTTAGACAGCTTCTGTGTTTTTGGTATTGTTTTTAAGTGTGAGGGGTTGCCACGACAACAAAACAGGCCTGACAGCAAGCACCCTTCACAGCAGAGGCTGCCGAGGCTCCCGAGGCTTCACAAGTGCAGAGGGAGGCTTTGCCCACTCTGTCCCCCAGACAGTGATGGACACATTGGTTTGCCCACCCTGTTTCCCAGACAGTGATGGACACATTGATTTGTCCACCCTGTCCCCCAGACAGTGACGGACACATTGATTTGTCCACCCTGTCCCCCAGACAGTGACGGACACATTGATTTGTCCACCCTGTCCCCCAGACAGTGACGGACACATTGATTTGTCCACCCTGTCCCCCAGACAGTGACGGACACATTGATGGAAAAAGGTACTTGCCGACCTCACAAAGCATTTTTGTTTAGGAATGATGAAAGATGCTGTTTACACTCCTGCAATGCAGTCATGTCCCATTCCTTAGCAGAGGTAATTAGGGAATATAAATGAGTAAGAGATGCCTTCAAAATGCAGGCTGCAGCCTCGCACACTCACTCTGTCTGCCAGTGCTGTTTGCCACAGGTGCTAGGACCTCTGGGCATGGCTGGCGTGGAGTGATAAACTTGTTCTCAGGGGAGGAGAGCAGTCGGTCCCACCCCGTCTTTCAGAATAGTTGGATCAACAGGTGTCTGTCCAGAGCGATGAGGTCTAGAGTCAGAGCCTGCTATAGTGAAGCATCTGGCCCTGGAGCAGAGCGCCCAGACTTGAAAGACCTTGAGCAGTGAATGCAGTCCAGCACCCATGTTTCGTGTTGTGAGCCAATCTCTCCTGTAAGCCGGCAATTCCTGAAGTCAGTCATGAGGTGGATCTTTGAAGTCGGCAGACGTGGCTGCCAACCAGCACAGCTGCCCTGCCTGCTGAGTCTCCTGCATCACCCCTCTACCACCTCAGGCCTCCAGAAAGTCCGAAGGATGGCACAGAGGCTCCCACAGAGGCATCTTTTTGTCTTAAATTCTTTTATATGTTACATTGGACCACCTAAAACAGCTACCATGTGCCCAGGTTGGCCAACAGCCGTGCATTTCATTTCCCTTGAGCTCGGATGAGGAATAGTTGACAAGTCACTGACTAACACGGCACAGGGTTCCTTACTTGAGCTGGAGTCATGTGGCTCAGGCTGGAATTGGCAAGAGGTGAGACCACCCAACCACTGATCTCAGGTGAGGGACTCTGTCTCTGAGGCCTTGGAGGACTGATAAGAAGAGCTGGTGACACTGGGTCAGGAACAACTTGACATCCATCCTGTCACTGGCTCAAGTTGTCATGTGTGTCATTGGCTCACATTGTCATGTGTGTCATTGGCTCACATTGTCATGTGTGTCATTGGCTCACATTGTCATGTGTGTCATTGGCTCATGTGTGTGTCTAAATTTTGCCTCATCTTCTGCTTGTTTTGTTGAAACTGTCTCTTCTACCCCATTGAGCAACCCCTCCTTTTCTCAGCCCCTCAGCGCCCCCCCCCCGCCCCAGATGTTGGGCTCTGCTCACACCAGAGTCTTTGGCACAGAGTCCAGTGTCTCTTTCATAGTCTTGTGCTTACAGTGCTTCCCAGAGCCCCTCCCTTGCCATCTCTATTTCTATGGATTTCCTTCTGGACGGAGACTACACAGTCACGGGCATAGCTCTTGTCACCGCTGACATGTCTCCTGTGTTCACATGTAGCTCGCCAGAGCACCACCTCTCACTGTCCACTATAGAGTGCCAGTGTGTGTGAATTACCCCAGGACAGCACTGTGTCCCGAGGGGCCCCGGCTCTCCGAGGTGCTGGTTGCCAGCCTGAGACTCTAGAGGATTGGTGGGCATTTGCCTAATGTATGTGAACTGCATTGTGTGCACCCAGGGTCTCACTGGGGCCTGCATCTTCTCTGGGAAGGATTAACACACATTTATAGCTTTGCATAAAGCTAAGAAAAATAGTAATAAAGCTACCGAGCACCTTGCTAGAGCACGCACCAAGTAAAGATAAATTTTACAATGGCCATTTAAAAATGTAACTGGCCACAGGAGAAGGCACCGGGATTGCTTTCCTATGGGGCAGAAGAAATGGACTTTGAGTTTGAGTTAAACAAAGGTGACTTGGGGAGCGTTGGCCTAAAGGCAGGAGGATGGACTTGGTAGTTTTGAGGCTCTTTGCAAATGTGGTCCAGGGAAAGTAAATGCACCCTAAAGAGACTGGAACCAGTCAACTCAGAGTCATGAACAAAGCAATGCTTCCTTGTTTGGGGTGCATGTCTGAAACCCTTGAGAGATGCTTGAGGCCCTGCATGAACTCAAAAGTGAGCTGGCTCCCTACTGACTGTGCTCCAGCCATGGCACCTTAGTGATAGAAGGGTGTGTGGGATTTTAGATGGGCTCTCTCCCTGGGTATGTGACATACAGTCCTTTCTTTTTATGTTGGGCCATGGCAATGAGCTGCAGCTGCCCTCCACCTTCCACTGTGGGATGAAACAGCCCACACAGTGCATTGCATTGTGAGCTTTGATGTTTGGTGGATGGAGAGTGTTAAATGCATTTTCAATAGACTATGGGTTAGCTAGAGCAGTAGTTGTCAACCTGTGGGTCACAACCACTGTGGGGGTTACCTAAGGCCATCAGAAAACAGATACTTACAATTCATAGCAGTAGTAAAACTACAGTTACGAAGTAG